TTGTAGAGGACACTGTAGGGGTGTCATAACCATGTAGAGGACACTGTAAGGTGGTGTCAGACCGATGTAGAAAACAGTTTATGGGGTCATGTCGGACCGTTGTAGAAGACAGTTTATGGGGTCATGTCGGACCGTTGTAGAAACTAACCGGAATCAATGTCGGGACAGTTTACAGAGTCTTATCGTTATGACACCCCCATCCAGTGTCTTCACCAATGGTCTGACACGACCATACAGTGTCTCTTATCCTCTTTTATTTTTTATGTATTTTCTTGTTTTGTTCCTCTCTTCAAACTCAAGTTGGTTAGTTTCTATCCTCCTTGAGTTTGCGGGGGGCTGTTAGAATTTACCTACACCTACCACCACCAATTTACCCTCACCTACTCCTCACCTACTACCCAAACCCTCTCCTATATAATGAGCTACTCTGAATTGTAATATATAATATCAATCTTGTAACAATCAATTAATCAATAATACTTGAATTTTAACATTAGGTTTAGTGGAGTAGGTGAGGTGGTAGTGGTGTAGTGGGTTAGGTTTAGTGGAGTAGGTTTAAGTGGGTGAAGTAGGTGGAGAGTAGGTGGATTTTAACAGCTGTAAAGAGTTAAAGACTGTTATTCAAGATATCCCGAATTTTCCTTGATCATTGTCCTAACATCTCCATGTGCTAGCATTTTTAATACCAGACACCTTAGCTTGTTATGACCTCCCCAAATCTATACTATTTTATCTCCGTATCTTTTGATTAATGGTCCAAGGGAATGTCAATTATCAACCCGTAAGAAAGTGGATCACCAATCTCATATTTAATCCAATGCTGATCTATATTCTAACAGTTTAAAAACTTTCCTCATTGTCCATGGAGAATCAGTGGGTATTTGCATCCCCCACAGGCTTTCGCCTTTCCAATATGTAACTGTGAATCTATGAAACACGGATACTTCAAATAGGATGACGTATCCGTATCGGAAACTGATACTCCTTGGACACTTGCGAATACGTATCAGATACTTATTAAAAGTATCAGATACTCCAAGTCACATATTACTTATTTTACGAAATTAGAATTGTAACATTTCTTGCATAGTATTATAATATAATATAATTGTAAGGATAAAAAATGGGTATATTTTTTTAATACTATGTTTAGTTCTTTGATAAGAAGAATACAATAAGTTAAATAATAAAACTTGTCAAATTGATGTATCCTAATTGTTTCATGCATGTAGCCTGTAGCTGTTTGGAATGATCTAAATAAATGTACTTTTTGACTTTTTACAAAAAGATGTGTAGAAAAATAGAGAGATGATGTGACTCAAAAAAGATAAAAAAATGAATAAGTGCACTTTTATAGTACACCCAAACAAGCATTTATAAGTGCCAAAGGAAAAAGCACAGGCACAAATTGTGGATTATTCTGTTATTGTAATATAAATATATTAGACTTGATATTGAAATAAAATATTTGTAATACTTATTAAAAATTTAAAAGGTAAATAAGCTACTAGCTTAAATTAATACGTAATTATTAAAGGTTAGTATTTTGCATTATAAAATTACATTATGGTTTCTCAACATTCTTTAGCTTATGTGTAACTCACTACTAATAATTTTAAAAAATATATTTTTCACAAACGTATGCTAACCATACCCATATCTTATTTTTTTAAGTTTTGTTGTATCGTATAATCCGTATCGTATCATATCCATATTTCATATTTTGTATCCGTATCCGTATCCATGCTTCCTAGCTGTGAATCCACTTCACCCACAAGGAATCTTCTCTCTTACTTAATGCCCATAAGTGCCTTATCGTAGCAGCCTCATTCCAAACTTTTAGTCATCTTTGAAGCAATGCATATATTTGTTTCCACAGCTTCTAAATGTTTCTTAACAGTAATGATATTCACCAACCACCTTCTTATCATATAAATTTAATTTCAGTTCCTATTCGATACCTTAACACAAGTGGAATTGTAGATAAAAACACAAAATTTAATCTTTGATAAACCCCAAGTAGTAACCACTAACTCCTCTTCTTTCAATGACTAGAGCCATTTCAATTTCTGTCAGTTTGATGGCTGTTGAATATCACCTAGAGACTACAACCCTATTATTGCAAAATAACAGTCAGAAAGAATATCATATTTGCAAGTTGCAAAAGTCAAATAGAAGTGATACATTCTGTATGGGGGTAAATAAGCTCAGGCTTTGCATGAAAACCTGCTCGACCTCACAAAACTAATAATTTAAATTAAAAAACTAAAAGCTTCCCTGACTGTGAACAATTAGACACGCACAAGAACAATTAGGCATTGCACCAGCAGCCATTTAAGATATATTTTATTATTTTTCTGAAATTCACACAAAACCATGAAAACAAGCAGATTTCTTAATTGTTCAAATACCAATACAAGAGCTCAGATCTGTCTTTATCCTTTTTTTGGGCAAGTAGATATGTTCCGGTCAATGAAATTACATACTAAAATCTTCAATTATTTATGTTACTTATTTTCTTATAAGCAAAAATATTTAACTGGTAAACAACGCTTAAATAAATACATATATTATCAGTAAGGAGCCAAAAAATGATTACCAGAAGCTGATGCAATTGGAAAGCCAATTGCAGACCCCAGTGCCATAAAAAGAATGCCATTCAACATGGAAAGAAACCCTAATGCAGATGCCTGGCTGCTGTAGGAAAATCCTGAATTGAATGCATCTCGATAAGCTTGACCAATCATGGAGATTACTGGCACGAGACATGCTGAACTTCCAAAACCAAGAAACAGGAGCCATACACTTGCTAATGCAAAGACCTGTGAAGGATCTTCCTGCCCTACATCCACGTCATTCAATCTTCAAGTGGAGAAAAATTAAACACACTTGCTCACAGAAACTAATCCCAGAATATATACCACTAGATCAACTGGAGTCAGATATAGTAGCGGGAATAATAAGAAGGGAGGCTATAAATGGAATGGAGCTCATAATATTCTCAGATACATTGGAAAGCCAGAAAACACAAGGGTTTGCAGTTGGAAACAGCTGCAGCGGACTGTTTCATTTCTTAATGTTGTCAGTTTCCTGTTTTCTGTTTACAAAATCAGGCAATAATTTTTTAGGTTTTAGTATTTAGCTTTTTTGTGCAGAAAACTTGTTTGGTATATAGAATTAGAGAAATATGTTTGGTCAGTTGCCATATGTGGTGGCCAATGGTGGACAGTGGACGGCGGTGGGGGTGGACGGAGGTGGCAATTAGAGTTGGTCGCCGAAGGGCCATCGAAAGGTTGCTGGAGGTCACAAGGATGACAGGTCAATCGACAAAGTCACTGAAAGGTCGCTGGAGGTCACAGGCAGACAGCCGGCCATGATGGGTGGTGGGAGAGAGAGGAGAAAGTGAAAATTTGTTTTGAAAACAAGTGAAATTTTTACTTACCAAAAAAAAAAACTTATTTTTATTTCCCAAAAAATTTGAAAATTTTGGAATCAATTCTATTTTTCTAAAAGAAAACAATATACCAAAAAAGTTTTTGTTTCTAGTTTCTAGAAAAACAAGAAACAAGAAACAAAAACTTTAACAAATGACTCATTTTTCTGATTTTGGATGTAGTAACCGATCATTTGTTCCCCATAAAAAGACTTTGACGGGCAACGTTGAAGATTTGTGAGCTAATTTCATCAAACGAGCAGTATCAAAACTCTAACTACATATATTTGTACAAAATGCGAGATTGGAATAAAATTACCTCAGCATCAGCATATGTTGACTGCATCCTAAGACTGCAACGAGGGTACTTGACAACACACTTTGAACGAAACCGCCGTAATTTCAACTGTTTCAGTTGTTTTCTTATGAGTGCATTGTTTAAAACACCAGGTTATTGTGGTTATAGATCATCTAAGATAGTGCACAAAGTTTACCTCTACTCTGTCAAACATGTCATCAACTATTAAAGGATTTCCACTGTAATATGCATCCCGTGCCTAGGACAAGAACAATCAACATGAAATGTGAGATCATAGAAGCCACTGAAAATAGAGCTAACTTGCTATCCATTTAGCCGAAAAGATCTTAAAGCCCAACAAATACACCTATGGCAATATACTAAAGTTTTCTCCAACTCTAGGCAAGCCAAATTCCTTGTGCCAAAATTAAAATAATTTGATGAAATAGCTATTAATTTTTTTTTTCCAAAACCAAGAAAATATACAAGAAAAACATTGAAAATGTTTCTTTCAACTAGTGTTACATGGACTTTCTATTCCTTCCCAGAGTACCTATGTGCAGCAGATACTGTCCTCAATTTAGACACATGAAGTTTTTAATTTTGTACTATGTTTGAAGAAGAAGAAACTCAAATTGCTATTAAAGAAATATTTATAGCCCCTGACATGGATAAGAAATAAATTCTATATGTTTCCTTAATGTTAGTTAATTCAAATACATTTCTACATAATTTACAACATCTTATCTAAGAATATTATACAATATGTAATACATATGTGTCCATGACGTGTCCTCGTAACCATATCCAACTTTTGGCTACATATCCCAATATCCTCGGAGGGTCTAGCGCTTGAACACGCACCTGCATCCTATACTCACACCCAAGTCCATGTAACATAGCTTCCAACATGAAACCACCGGCTAGCCCATTTAAATGATTACTCAATGTCAGTAAACATCATTTATGATTCTCATAACATATTATATCTTCATCTTAGCCATATGAAATTCCGATCCTAATGGAGATTTAACAAGGCACATGTGCCACATATACGTGTACAAACAAATTTCCCTAATTTTTTGTTTTTTATTTGGTACAAAATCCAAACATATCACATCATTTTGTATTAATTTTATGTACAATTTTTCCGTTTGTATCGCCTAAAAATGTTGAAAGGATTTTCTAGAAATGTTTTTTATTTTTCCGTTTGTATCGCCTAAAAATGTTGAAAGGATTTTCTAGAAATGTTTTTTTATTTCAAACAAATATCTATACTATTATATATGTGAAGGCTACAGTTGGTGTTCACGTCTCATTTTTTAGATTTGTAGTAGTTATATATAGGTTGTTATATCCTTTTTTTTTTTTTTTCTTCATTCAAATCTCTCAGCTTGTAACTTTTCCAAATTCATTTCAATTTTCAGATTTTTTACAATCTTATTTTTCTGAAACAAAATAATCAAATGGTCACTTCTAGAAACAGCTTTCCACGAAATTGTTCGCAGAAAATTTATAACTCCGCTACAAAACAAGCTCTTTTTAGTCTTGTACACCATCAATCAACGAACAAGCGATGCGAAACATGAATTCGAAACCTAATTTAAGAGAAGGAGAGGGAGAGGGAAAGGGAGAGCAAACCTGACGATAGAGGGCCTCTAGGGTTTCTTTGTTGGCGGTCTCGATAGGTCCGACGAAGATGCAAGACGGACCCTGGGCGAGAGGGTCGCGCTCGTCGCGAGTGAAGACGCCGTTGCTCCTCGTGGAGATTCGAACCGAGAACGGAGCTCCGGTGCGGTTGTTTCGAGAAAGTTCAATGACTGTGGACCCCATCACGTGAGGCGTGACGGCGGTGCTCGTGCCGGCCGCCATGAACGACTGATCGGCGGCGTTGGGAAAACTAAAAAACAACTAATGTGCGGTTGAGATGGGACGGTTAATAGTCCGAGCCTCGGCCACTAGTTTGTGGAGTGGAGTAGAGTAATTTGGGACTGAATGGTATTTATAGGGGTGGGATATGACGAAAATGCCCTGTGAGGTTGTGGTCGGTTTTGGCGGCCAAATATCTCATTGGTGGGCTTTGATTTGTGATGGGTGTTGCTCTATATAGAAGGAAAAAGTACAAAATATATTTAAAAAATAAGCATTTTGCGTCTGCCGGGAGTCGAACCCGGGTCTATTGCTTGGAAGGCAATTATCCTAACCGTTGGACTACAAACGCCCTGGCTGAATGAATAAATACAATTTTATATTTTAAAGACAAAAATTAAACTACTTTTTTCTGATAACTTGAGACCCAGGTGGAAGTGGAACTACTGCTTTGGCTAAGCAAAATGGATGAAAGATTGGTTTCATTATAAAATATATAGAAGAATGTCGGAAATCATGGAATGTGTTGTTAAACAGATTTGTATGGTCTCGATTTGATCTAATAGCCTATAAGAGAAAATGAAGTGAGTTGTTGTGGTGTGGTACTGGCCAAAGACTCTCTGATACCTTTGTCAGAGGTATAGATGTAAAGAGAGAAAGTAGAAAATGTGAATAGAGATGGAAAGCCTGTGTTTTGGATGCATGCCTTGGGTTACAAGTGGTGGTGGGTCTCAATTTTGTTGGATCATGAACCATATAGATTGATCTATCAAATTCAGACCTTAACTTATTCTACATGTATTGAATAGAAAGAACATAAAACACTTACATTAAAGGGACACTTTAGGTTAACTACTACAAAGAGTACAAGCTATATTTGAATTACAGGAATCTTAAAAATGAATGAAAATATGATTTCAGATCTCTATAATTCTAATATTTTGGAGCGTGATTGGAATAGAAAATGGATTGCTGATTGTCTACTCCAACATAAATCACATTACCAAGTTAGATAGGAATCTATTTTCCCCATTTACCTATGAAAATCTCATATTATTGAAGGAATGTTAGTTATTTATGAGCAAAAGTTAATAATTGAATCCCCAATATTCAAAATATATATTTTTTTCTTTTACAGAGGATTCCTAGCAGAATCAAACATTTAAATGGCATTGACATATGAATCTCATTACTAGCAATGACATGCCCATCCCTCCGTAAAATTTGTGTCATTCTACTTGAGTATTCTTTCTATAGTTAAGTTTTTAAAATCAGTTTTATAATAATATTTCCAGAACTAGTTTGATTAAAATACACATTATTTCTATATAATTTTATTTTTTTTGGGTAAAGTTAATTTTTTAAAATATAAAAATATATTTTTATGTGAAACTAATTTAAATCTTTTTAAATTTAACCAACCATTCATGGCCATGTTTAATTAGCATGTTTGATATAATGACATTTAATTTAAAGAGTTATAGCTTTATGTATGGACTATTCCATGTCTGTCATTGATTAGTTTAAAAATTAGAGTAAATTATGTAAATAATCCTTGTAATTTATACGATGTGTTAATTTGGTTCCTGTAATTTTAATTTGTTTAATTTTACCCATTAATTTAACGGATTGTGTCATTTTAGTCCAATAAATAGCGATTGTTAAGTTAATTTAACAGAATGTCAAACAATGTGTCAATTTGGTCCATGTATTTTACACGATGTGTCAATTTGGTCCCTATAGTTTCAATTTTTTCGATTTTGACAAGGACTAAATTGACACATTGTGAAAAATACATTGACCAAAATGACACATTGTTTGACTTTCTATTAAATTAACTTAACAACTATTATTTATTGGATTAAAATGATACAATCCGTTAAATTAATGGGCAAAATCGACCAAATTGAAACTACATGGATCAAATTGACACATCGTGTAAATTACAGGGACTATTTGCATAATTTTTCCTAAAAATTAATTATTTAAAATTTAACTTTTTTTTATCACATCATTAGATAGAAATTTAGAGATTAGGCAATTATCTCCCCTTAAAATATATATTAATTCTTTTTCAAAAGGGTAATGATATGACATATACCTGTCGTGTGGGTTAAAATAACATTCCCAAATCTTAGAAAAAAAAATTGGGTCAGGTGGGAGAATGGGTCGATGTCCACCCCTACTTGTCCTGTGAGCATCGGCCCGTTGACTCGGCCAACTCGCCATACCTAACTATTATATTTTTTTAGGGCTTAGGAAGGTTATTTTAGTCTACATGACAGGACTAAGCCAATATTTTCAGTCCGAAATATTAATGAGTTGGGTTTAGGATTTATACTTTCAACCCAGCCCGGTCTGACCCGCTATTAAATTAATTAATTAATTATAATACATTAAAATATTTATTTTTTGTTGGAATGCAAACTTTATCTTTATTGATTTTATTAAAACTCACGTTTTGTGGTGTGTGTGATTGAAGTTGTTTAAGAAATTCTTCAATTTATATACAAAATCTTTTAATTTATAATAATGTCAATATATTTATTTAAGAAAAATAATGTGTGATTGAATTTAATTATAAAATATTTAAATTTTTTTAAAAATATATAACCTGATAGGTAGACTTGAGATTTATAATTATTTTTTGGAATGGACTTGGGTAGATGTAGAGGCTCGATGTTAGGGTCGGACTGGGCTTAGGCAGCACAAAATCTCTTATTATATAGTGACGTCCCGACCTGAACCTGGCATATGCCTACCCCAACATGAAAGGAGTGTGCACCGTTTACAAATTATGATATTTGTGAGGTTGATCATTACAAATGTCATAAGTCAATCCTATAAGAGTCATAACGGAAAAAAAGGGGTTAAAACCAAACACTGCACAATGTATAATCAAAAAGTTTTTGAATTATAATTAAAATAATATTATAACTAATATCACAACGTGTATAATCAAGACGTAATTAATACCCTAATAACTCATAACAAAAAAGACTTAAAAGGTAGTAATTAGATGCACATACAATAGAATTTATCTTTTTTAAATCGTCTAAAATGACACAAGTTGTAAACTCTAGGAACTGGACGTGTAATAAATATTATTTGTTATTATGTGTCACATATCACATGTGATTAGGGGTGTGTGTGGTGCCGTTCGGGAGGTTTGAGAGTAGAATTACAAATCAAATAGCGGGTTGGCGGATTGGTGGATTGACAAATTGCGGTTTAGGCAGTTTTTGGCGGATTGACGAATTAAAGAATATTCTAACCAATTATCATACATTTGTATAATATATAACACTAATTTGTATAATATTTTTACAAAGTAATTTTACATAATATGTTTCATATATATAACTACTAATTTGTAATAAATTTATATCTTAAATCTCTCTCATACTCATTTTTACATTGAAATTTCATTGGAGATTAAAATATATATATGTGTTAACTATAGCGGAGCGGGGCGGTTCGGTTGGCGGATTATAAATTTTAAAGTTTAAACCGCGGTTAGCGGTTAGAGCGGTGCAGATTGATGCGGATTGGTGCGATTTTAGCGGATTATGCGGTATTTTGCACAGCCCTACATGTGATAAGCAGCTCATGTTTTATATTCTAATTTTTTTATTAATATATAAAAAATTAGTTTGTAGGAAAATTTATTGTTTGGTTTAGATTTTGAAAATCATTTTTGAGTTTCTTTATGATTTTTTTTAAAATTTTAGTTTAATTTTGTACATTTTAGATTTACTTAAAAATCAAAATATTTGTAAAAAAATCTAGAAATGTATGCCTTTTTTATTGTTATTTTTGTCAACTTTTTTTTTTTCATAAATATTATATTTTTAAAGTACATCTACTTAACGGGTACTGTTGTGCCTTAAGGTATAGCAGTTATTGTTGCCTTTTTGTGGGAGGTCTCGAGTGTTTTTCAATGATCTAAACCGGTCAATTGTAAGGTTCGTTAAGAATATTATTCATGTAAAAAATAAAACTAATCGGATATTCATAACCCCATAATTAGGTTCTAATTGTTTTTAAAAATTTATGAAAGTTATGTTAACCGTTAATCTATTTAGGTTCTAATTGTTTTTAAAAATTTATGAAAGTTATGTTAACCGTTAATCTATCTATGCTATATATATAACCAAATGTAGTTGTTAAGTCAAAAGGCTCCAAAACTTGAATCCTAAATTCTCATAATTTTGAAGAAAAATAAATATTACGTGGCACTTCCTTTCATTTCTCTTTCCATTCTTCAAGCCTTCTCAATCTCTCTTCATATATAAAATATAAAATAATAAAATATTAATCCATACTCTCTCTTCCTATATAAAATATAAAATAATAAAATATTGATTCATATCCATCACCCACAATATGTTTATCTCAAAATAATAAAATATTCATCCATATCTATCAGTCACAATAATATCTAACCCACTCTCAATCTCAATTTAAAAATGAAAAATAAAAAAAACAAAAAGAAACCAAATGTAGTTGTTAAGTCAAAAGGCTCAAAAACTTGAATCCTAAATTCTCATAATTTTAAAGAAAAACAAATATTACGTGGCACTTCTCTTCATATCCCTTTCCACTCTTCAAGCCTTCTCACTCTCTCTTCCTATATAAAATAATAAAATAATAAAATAATAAAATATTGATCCATATCCATCACCCATAATATGTTTATCTCAAAATAATAAAATATTCATCCATATCTATCAGCCACAATAATATCTATCCCACTCTCAATCTCAATTTAAAAAAGAAAAAGAAAAAAAAAAAAACCCATGACTCCTACAATTTCCACACAAACGTTTCTGTATTTAGCTTATTCCAGTCAAATTCAATTATTCTCTTATCTACTCATCTTTTATTTTCTCAAAATAACTCATCTTCTCCATTGTTACATTTTGCAAGTTTGATGATATGGAAAAATCGTTACAAGATCGGTGTAATATTATTTCGTATTTTATATGTATTTTTTTAGTGTGTGTTACTTTGTGTGTATATATTTCTTTTCTCAATATTTTTCAATTCATCTACACATTTTTTCATCTTCTTTATTTTATGCTCCTAATATTATTTCTTACTTTATATGCATTCTTTCAGTGTTTATTACTTTTGTATGTATATATTTCTTTTTGCTAATATTTTTCAGTTTATCTACATATCTTTTCATCTTTATCGTTATTACATTCAATTATTCTCTCATCTACCTATCCTTCCTCAAAATAACTCATCCTCTCCATTGTTATCTTTTGCAAGTTTGATGATCTGTGAAAATCATTACCAAGTCAGTGTAATATTATTTCTTACTTTATACGCATTTTTTCAGTGTTTGTTACTTTGTGTACATATATTTTTTTTCTAATATTTTTCAGTTCATCTACACATCTTTTAATTTTCTCCATTTTTATGCTCCTAATATTATTTATTACTTTATACGTATTTTTCCAGTGTCTATTATTTTTGTGTGTATATATATTTTTTTCTAATATTTTTCAATTCATACACATCTTTTCATTTTCTTCATCATTACATTTTGCATGATTTGGGCTTGCTACTTTTTAATTTGTGATTTGCGTTTATTCTTCAATTTAATCAGATTCGAAACTCACCAAATCTTGAATTTAATATAATTTATTTTATTTTATTTCATGTCTATCACACCATCACACCCATTAATGGCTTCGCGTAAACTCTCGAAATCAAGAAGATCAGCTCTGCATAAAGTTAATCTCACATTTGCTCATTCAAACTCTCTCAAATGAGAGTTATTCTGATCATCTGCAACTAATATACACTCAATTAAGTACATACACACACAACAACTTCAAAATCTAAAACACAATTTCTCAATTTTAAAATTTTGGCAAAAATAAAAAATATATTTAATTAAATATATTTTATTCTATTAAAACTTCATTAAAAAAGTAAATTTATTTGCTACTATTCAATAAAATATATATGCCTTTATTTTTATATAACAAACAAAATTAAATTGTCTTCTACTCATACATAATTACTCATAAATATCTTATCTTTTTAAAATTTTGATTATCAGCAACCGAATTCCCACATATCTCTCTTGGACCCTACGACACTTCGAGATGCTATCAAAGACCCAACATGAAACATTGGCTTGTCGGTTAAGTTGAGGACCTTTGCTAGCACATTGTTGTGTGGCTAGGCACCTTGATGACATGAATCTAAGTTGGGCGAGCACCTTGCTTGAGATAAAGCTTGGCGCTATGAAGCGACTTATGCCGTGCTTGGTGCACTGGAGGCGTCAGGCCTACTTGTGGCGTCCGGGTGAAGACGGAACTTCCTTGTGAAGTTGTTTTGCTTGACAAAGCATTGGGCCCTAATGTTCAAATGGGTGAGACCATCAACACTCGATTTGTCAATGAGCTATGGCGGGCTTAAACTTGGTGGAGTTTGAGCGCCACACGGGCAAAAATTGATCCGCTGCGCCTCTAAAGGAGTCGGCCCGTGACAGTTCTTTTTTTGTAGGATGTTTATTTACTTTTATCTTTACTTTTCAAATTAGATTTGATATCTATCTTTTTACCTATGTATATATCTATACTATATATATAAACAAATATAGTGTGTTCTCTAAAATTTTCAAAGTCTCAATTCTCAATTCTTAATCAAAGTTAAGATTTTATTTCCTCCATTTCGCTCTCTCAAAGTTATGTTTTTAATTTTTTGTCATCCTCATTTTTCTCCAATAAAAAAATTTCTTTCTCTTAATATTGTTTTTATTTAAATTTTTTACTTTATCTAAGACTCCTTATCTCTTTTTATTAATTTTTTATTTTGTTTAATCTTCTCCACTATCTTCATTTATCTTTATTTCTTATTTCTACCTTTTTAATTTTTTTTTTAATCCCCAATCCTATCATTATCTCCAACTTTATTTTTATTTTATTTTTCATATGATCCCTTTTTTTAATTTATTTTAATCTTTAATCTAATAATTATCTTCAAATTTATTTATATTTGATAATGATCTCCAATTTCATTTCTATCTTATTTTTCAAATGCTTCACACTTCAGCTATATATTCTAACATACCATCGAGTTGTTTTAGTGTTTGTATATTGGGTATAAAGTTTTGTTCAAACTCTGCGTTTAAGATTCGAGTTGCATTCAATCATCAACAATGTCACAATTGGTTAGGCAGTATTCATTTTTAAAATTTTTACATTATTTGTAATAGTATCCATTTTTACATTATTTGTTTTTAAAGCTATAATAATGTCCAATAGAAATATAGTTCATGCTGCTAAATGACCTACTTGGACTAAGATAATTTTATAATCAATGTTTCAAATGACAAATTTATGGAAAAAATGAATGTATGAACTTAGGTATTAGATAGTTATCGTATTCAAAATATTTGTTAGTTATACCTCCTTATTATATTTTAAATTTATAAAAAAAAATTATTTTATAATAAAAAAATGAGTATAATAAATTGTTTAAATTATACATTCCGTGCATAGCACGGGTTGCCACAAGTTTTTATAGAAACACATGTACTTTGGTTATAGAGCTATGGCTATCCAATTAACTTGATTTTTTTGTATGGATGATCTACTCGACAAACCCTACAATACAAACGGTTCAGATCATCGAAAAACACTCAGGACAATCTCCCACAAGAGGCACAACTGTACCCCCTTCTTCGGTTTGTTTTGGTAATAGGCTAAAATAGTCAAAAATTTCTATAAAAAGTCAACTATTTTCTTTATTTTTTTACATATATTTTTATAAAAAGTCAAAAATTACTATATAAGTTCAAAAATTACACCCAATTTTTACGGTCAATTAAAATATCTAAAGCAATATCATTTCTCATATTTTCTCTAATCATCAACCAATTATATCATTTAATTTAAAAAATAAGTCTAAAAATGAACTTTTATATCATTTTCTTTAAAATAATCAAATATCAAAACAACCTGAATAAAAAACTAAATATATATTAAAAAAATTAAAAAAACAAAACTAATTTGTAAGAACATTACCTCCCTCCCAACAGGCAAGCAAAATGACACGTAAGTAATGAATAACTTCAATAAAACAATACGAACAATAGAGAGAGAGAGAGACATGCACGTTGAAAAACAAGTCTGGTAATAACCGTTGGAAATCATGGGAATGGAAAACACACCTCCTCTCTCCTCTGCATATCACCTCTCTCTCCTCATCCTCTCTTTCTCTCTCTAAATTTAGATTCAATTCACAATTTTATCGTCCATTCATGGTTCTCTAATTTCTTTCCCAATTTCAATCCACAGCTCCAAAAATGGACATTCTCTTCTAAATTCAATCCTGTTCACTTCTCCTCCCTCCTCTCACCGGCCCACTATGGGGAGGGCTTCTCCACTGGATGACGAGGAGGACCTCCAGATCACCGTCCATCCCGGCCGCGGCCCCCCCGCCGACCACCACCGCTCTCCCACCCGTCCTCCTCGCCGCCCTCCTCCCCCCACCACCCCTATCTATCAGCCCTTCAAGAAGCATTTCCCTTGGTTAGTCCCCCTTTTTGTAGTCGCCAATATTGTTCTCTTCGCGATCGCTATGTATATCAATGATTGTCCTCGAAATTCCCACAATTGTTTGGCTGCTGACATTCTAGGCCGATTCGCTTTTCAGAACCTTAAGGAAAATCCCCTCCTTGGACCCTCTGGCTCAACGTAAGTCCCTCGATTGTGCTTGATTTAATGTTTGAATAAACTAAACAAATGCATGATTGAATTTTGATCCAGCATTGTCGGGGACTATTCATTCTAAAGGATTTAGACCAACATGGGAATGTTTTTCTTATTTTGTAAAACTTCCAAGAAAACTTGACTATTCTTAAAGAGTTAAAGAGTTTAACAATTTGACTATAAACTTAATTTTAAAGTTTGTCTATATCTGCATGATTAACAAGTAAAAATAAATTCCAAATTTTGGCAATTTAAAACTTGCCAAAACGACTAAAAAATATTTGGCAATTTCAACAAGTGGGCTGTTGGAAAAGAGGATAAAGATTGCCTGCAATTTTAAGAAAATTTGGCTAAAACTGGGTGAATTTCACTGCTGCTTTTATGTTCTAGTTAGGTTACCTCCTATAAAGATTAGAAACGAAGCATCCGAAGGAAAACTTACTCAACCTACATAGTGGTTTTAACTAACCACAATCAGGTTCTTTTTGATTCATTGACGGCTAATGCATTGTAGTTTCTGTTTTCCAGTAGTGACTAATGTTGACATTCGTGTTTTAAAATTGCTTTTGCTTTGCATTGCACACTATGGGAAGCAGTCGACTATAAGAAGCAAGAAATTGCATCTGGTAGCATGCCATCTGTGCTTGAATTTGGAAAATAGTGAAAAAACAAATTTGATTAATGCTGTGTGTTTGTATTCATGTAAATTCCAGTGGCAGGTAGTCTAGAATTTGCAGCTAGAAACATATGATTCTCTATCTTGAAAGCATGAAACAAATTTTCAATCTTTGGAGTCTTCTTTTTCTTATTCTGGTTTATGCCTGAATACTCTTTTTATCATGCTTTCATTCTAGTTGATCCTTCCTTTCTTGCAAATATGTTTCTTTCACTGTTCCTTGGGTGTCCATAGTTAGACAACATCATGTTAAACAATACTTACCATTCTATCCTCCTAATGTGAATGTATGAAGAGATTGGTTTTCGCTATTTTATAGGATTTGCTTGGAAATTACATTTGAGGTCTCTCTTTCTCTTCCTCAAGCTGTTGAATGTGATCATGTTGTAACAAAGAAAGATTACACTTGCTAGCTTTTAACCATAGGATTTTTAGTGAGAACTATTTCTATTCGACTTGCTTCCAAGCTGTTGAACTGTGAACATTCGGTCACAGGTCTTTGTAAGGGTTCTAAAGCGGGATAAAATGTTACCTGATTTCATCTGTTTCATTTGTTCAGCCTACAGCTTATGGGGGCTTTGGAAGTGAAGAAAGTAGTTGAAAATCACGAGGTATGGCGCCTGATCAGTTGTACATGGTTACATGCAGGACTCTTCCATGTTCTCGCCAATATGTTGAGTCTGGTATTTGTTGGCATTCGACTTGAGCAGGAGTTTGGGTTTGGTATGTGTATTAGCATTCCCTATTTCACATTAATTAGTGGCATTGTTTTGCTCATTGTTACATCATCTCAAGGTTCAAGATTTTGAAATTTTCCTTTGTACTTTTTATCCCTATCATGTAACTTTGCAACTTGTGCTCCCAAAGAGAGCAATATATGTATTTATATTTATAGAAGTTTACTTCTATGACCTTTAAATGGGTTACATGATAGAGCGTGTTTTAAAGCTTTATACTTTTGTTGGACATTATCAATAGTAGCACTAAACTTCGTAAAGCAACATGTATTTTTCCCAACGAAACAAATACCTTTATTTCTTGTTATTTTATCCTAGTTTTCCATAGTACAACCCTAAAGTAGAGAGCCCTAAGAGCAAATGCAATATTTCATTTTCTTCATTCGTTAAAAAAATGTTCAAAGTGGAAAGAATCTGTTACTTTATCCTAGTATTCCATAGTACAAACTGAAAGCAGAGAGCCTTAAGAGGAAATGCAATTTTGCCTTTTCTTCATTAAAAACAACGCCTAATTAATATACATTAACGTGTGCTTGGAAGGGGAAAGAATATGTTTGAAGTCCTGACCATGGCTTCATTATTACTGTTTTTATCGCAATGTTAATATAGGTTTGTAGTTTGAAGCCTTTTTTGTAATTTAATTTAACCCTTCAACAGTGCGGATCGGTTTACTGTACGTTATATCTGGAATAGGCGGGAGCTTGTCGTCATCTTTGTTCATCCGGACAACAATTTCCGTTGGTGCCTCTGGTGCACTATTTGGTTTACTTGGAGGCATGCTTTCAGAACTCCTTACAAATTGGACGATATATGCCAATAAAGTACTTGGAAACTATTCTTTGTTAGACTAAGCTTCCTATTTAATTTGCTCTTTTAATTTTTTTTTTGTTGAATCAGATATATCCAACATTTGATTATCTTACACTTTTTTGGGTTGCCTTTTCATCAGTTCGCAGCGCTATTGACTCTCATTCTCATCATTGCAATTAATTTAGCAGTAGGAATCTTGCCACATGTGGACAACTATGCACATATTGGAGGATTTATTACCGGATTTCTCCTTGGGTTTGTGGTTTTGATTCGACCACAGTATGCATGGGTGAGGCAAAGACATACTCCTCCTCGTTACCATGGGAACTCATCTAAACCTAAATACAAGATGTATCAGTTTGTATTGCTCGTTCTCTCTCTCATAATTCTTACTGCCAGGTAACTTCTCTTTCTCGCTTTTGGTTGCAACTTTATACCATCATCATTTGTAGCTAGGTACTCAGGGTGATGGCCAAGGGCTTTTTGTTCCATTTGTTTTTTTCTTTCTACTAGGCATTTCCCTCACTTTTTGTTTCCCTTTACCTTTACCTTTACCTTTCCAAATCTCTACCCAAAGCCATCATTCAAACATAGGCTTAAGGTTCCTAACATAAATCTCTTTTTCCCTAGGTTAGGTGGCTGAGTGTAACGGATACTTGCTAGCATCCCAGATTGTATTTTCGCTTGTTTGGTTTGTTATGCACCAGTTTAGAGGAAATTTATTTGAAATAGCCAAACCAAACTAAATTATGATAAGCCATGTGTCCTAATCGGTGGGGTTGATTACATGAATTTTTTGTTATTTGATAATGTGAGAGTTTGATGGCAAAAAAAAAAACTTTCTTTGTTAAACTTCAAATTGTAACTCATAGGAAATTAATATGGAAGTAGCTCTGTTCAATTCCCAAAACACGGGGGGTAAAATAGTTACCATTCGCTTCAGATGAAGTGAGTAAGAAAGAAGCATGTTAATGGTGATAATTGATGCATGACAACATAAATACAATGATAATTTGATGGTAATATTCACGGACTATTGACGAATTCATGTTTCCCAACATGCATATAATGGTAGGTTGAGATTTCTATGAACATCCCCGGATATGGAACAAAATGAAGCATATATTTCTAGTTATAGCAAACTGGATGAGCAATTTTGGAAAATCTTGAGAAAAGGCTTTTTAGTTTTTGTGAAGTTTCATTATAGTATGCGTCGGTAAATCCCTTTAATTACATGGTGTAGTCTGGCTAGCCTCTGATCAATGACACGAATTTTGACAGCTTTACTATTGGCATGGTTTTACTCCTCCGAGGGGTTGATGGGAATCAATACTGTTCTTGGTGTCATTATATGAGCTGTGTCCCTACCTCTTTATGGAAATGCAAACCAGACGAAGTCTATTGCGAGGTAACTCATTCTGCCAATTTTATTGTCTTCTTTTTGGTGCTTACTTTTCCATTAATTCTCATTCCCTGCCTCTCTCCCTCTCTCCCTCTCTCTCTCTCACATGCGTGCCCATACACAATATTCAAATCTAACATACAATGAAACAAAGAGATGTTTGCATCATGTTGTCATGGACACTCTCAAATAAATCTAGTGGGATTACTCTTTCACAACACCTCTTTGTTTTTGATGCACAATCTTGACTAGCGAATCCTTTGCTTTATGAAAAAGCATAATTCCACAAAAGATTTTCACAGAATCAGGTACATAGGTGAGACAAGAGGTGAGCCTCACATGTAGAGCCTACTTATGTGAGTCCCACACCTTTATCTTTTCATACTATGAAAATCTTCTATGTTCCTAGCATAGCAATTGCTTCATTTTTTTTCTCTAAAAACCATATGCATCTTACAAAGAACAAATATGTGCTACATAAGAATTTGCACTCTTGCATCAAAAGGCCAGAGTTTCCAAGAAATCTTATTCTTGCCCATCAAAGCATCTTTACAAATTTGAAATTCTCCTTTGTGGAGGTGACTTCCGCACAATAATGGGACGTTGCCTCGAGTGTTTGCTCAAAGTGCTTTGGTGAAATGGGATACCCTGCAAGACAAGGAATAATGAGTCTATTTGGCCGTGGTGTGGCCAAAAAGCCCCTTTGATGCTTAAGTCATAAAGGGAGAGAAAGTGAGATAGAAAGAGAAAGCAAATTAGGGTTTTGTATACTTGGCAAGTGGAGAAGATAAGAATCCCTTCCTAGTGGCGCTTCTTGTTGTTGGGTTGCTCATGCTCTTTTAAGGCAGATATGCTCACCTGAGGTAACCACCTCATGTGCGTCCAACTCAGTCATGGCTATTCACGTGGGGGGATCTCCATTAAGGCACCTAAGAGCATCCATAATGTGATAGCTAAAAAAGTGTACTAAAGTGTACACAAGGCAAAAGTGGGTCCCATTTAGTGTGTAAAATAGTTGTCTAAACTAATGTGTGTGTGTGCACCACAATGGACAAGTTAACTACCTAACTAAACCATTAAAAAATTTATTGATGTCATTACCAGTGCTTCATTGCCAATGGCTATATTTCACATTACTAGTGCTCCATTGCCAACATCTATATTTCACATTATCAGTGCTCCATTGCCAATGGCTATGTTTCACTTCGGCAACTGCTATAATTTACAACAAACATCTATAGATTGTGTTGTCACCAACGGGTCGAGGTAATTCATGAGCTTCTTGAGTAAATGGAGAATCATCATCATTGTCAATGCTAATTGATCCTGTAGCTAAACTCGGTGTTGTTGCTGGAGTAGACGGATTTGATGAATCTATAATTTGATCAACATCCACATTGAAAGCACCTCTCTTTCTTTGACTAATTTTCTGTTTTTTTTCTTCTTGTTCTCTTGTATAGTTAAACCATTTAGCACTATCTTTGAGGATTATCCAACAACCATCCCACTCAAAGTGGTGACCCTGTGAGCTATAATACAATTGTTTTGCAGCTCCTAGCTCCAAAAAATAACAGACAAAAATTAATATCAATTAAATCATTTGAGTAGAAAAATGTGTAAACTATAACTTATCGAATCTTCAAGGTTATAGCCACTAGTCGGAGTCCTCTCTATTGTGTGAACAAATCTAGAATATTTGTTAAGGTGAGATTGAATGCTGGACCATTGATTCATCAAACCCAAGCTGATTCAATCGCTCTGATAACCCAAGAGTTGGTTGAACTCATCTCAAATTCGATCCCATAACCTCGCTCTCGTTTGATCTATACCCGTAGCTATATCTTCTAAGACTCGAACCATGCTTTACAAAGTGCTTCATCTTCCTCTTTTGTTCAATTTGGATTTCTTTCTTTTTGTTGCACTTCACCCTTTCCCTTTTTCTTTTTTGTGTTGTGGATGGATGCATGTCACTTGCTGGAGGAGGTTCATGAGATTGTAATTGAGATTGTTAGGGAAAAATTAGAATTGAGAGTTGTGCAGCCGTAATTGTTGACTTTTGATGAATAGTGTTAACTTTTTAACTTTTTAAGTAACTTTTTGACTTTTTAAATTTTTTCATACTACCCAAACTTGGCCTAAATTGGCCATCAAATAACTTCGTGATTAAGTTATTTTTGGATAAAAATCTACTACTATTTTTAAAAATGTGAAAAACTTATCATGTTTTTTATTTTTTTTAAATTTTAATTTTACCATCTTAAATTTTTTATATTTTTTAAAAGTTATGAAAGATCCTATATAAACCATCTGTTTATTTTTGGAGTTGAATACTCAAAAACAATATATCTGCTTTCAAGAGTCTTATGTAAATATAAACAAACTGTCTTCCTTCTTTAAAAAAAATAAATAAATAAGAAAAAAATAAAATAAAATCTTATTTTTTACAACAATGATGATTGAATAACAAAAAATAATTACTCTTTCTTATTTTTGGAGGGGTAAAAACATTGGCCCAAAGCCCTGACTTGTTAGCCCAAGGTCCAAAATTCAAGTGCGGTCCAACAACTCGAATCAAGCGAAAGGCCCAAATCATTGATACGTCTGACGGAAGAAGGGACAGTGTCACGTGACTAAAGCATGAGTAAAATTGCCTTCTACAAAGAGATCTGTAGAATGTAGGGATGCCATTAGATTCATTTACAATCGACGGTAAGGATCACAATAGTTAGAGATAGGTGCATAGGCCTGTCCCACACAAACGAAATGACCATCTGATGAACTTGATCGGATGGATGGGGCAATCGGCAAGTTGGCCCTTAGAAGCCTGACATAATCTAAGCCATATACAGCAAGGTAATTGATGGGTCGTTGAACACACCAAAATTAAATACTAAACTATACCAAATTCTATCAGAATAATGGCAAGTTCAGGTATCGATCCACAGGGACTATTGTGAAATTAAACTAATTTAATTATCAAATTCCTAAATTAATTTTGATAAAAAGATTGGTTGTTTATAACCTAATTTAATAACGAATAAATTAAATTATCAATAATAAATGAAATTGGGTTTACTGAATTAGGGAAAAATCCTAGGGTAGAGAATTCACCACTAACTACATAATTAGGGTTTCCAATTGAAATCAATTATGCTATGGTTTGAACGGATTAATGCTTCGCAACTACAAGCTCAAAGCATTTAACAAGAAGATCATCACATTCAATGTACGAGCACGAACCATCTCAAGTAATATGAACCGTTCACTCTAAACTAAGGTAGTGATACGACTCGTTCCTCGTAGTATGGTTCGTCCCATACCTTGAATGTGAAGGAAAAGAAAACAATTATATAGATAACATTTAACAATCACAGAAAGTCAAATATTCGAAAGAATAATGAAAATTATATAAAACAAACTTCTAAATCACCATACAAATGTTCAAACCTTTACATAATTAAAAATAAAAGAGACTAGCCACTCATGGAGGAGTGAAAGGAGGTAGATGGAGAAGAAACCATCATGGGAGACATCCTTGAAGCTTTTTGTTTCTCTTCCCTTCAAAACCCTAGCCTCCCTCTTTTGGTCAAAACAACTTCTGAACCCTAATCCAGCCTTTTACTTGCCTTTTTATACTTCCAATATCGTCCAAACAGGTTTAAAACGTCGGTTTGACTTTCCCAGAAAAAGTCAACGCACGTGCGGAAAAGTCAACGCACGTGCGGGAAAGTCAACTCTGCCCAAATTTTGTCTTTTTACTCATTTTATGCTCCAACGATGTACAACCTGATTGACACTCAACACACGTAAAATATACAGTTTGACCAGCAAGTGAAGTTAAGAGATTCTAGTTAACGGCCTCAGTGACGTACATTTCGGCCTTAATCACATCCCCCAACTTACTACTTGCTAGTCCTCAAGCAAGTAAAATAAAATAAAATTAAATTAAACAAAATCTATCTATTTCCTTTTTCGTAGGAAAACGGTTGCATTTAGCATATGCAACAAGCCTTTAAACCACAAGGTTACCCCAAGTGGACGAGTAAAGTCTCGTGAGGGTTTCCAGAAATGATACCCATAAACATTAACATATTCATATATATTCAACAACAAATGACTACACTACTCCACCTAACAATCAACTTATGTGCCACTACAGTGTGATATTTAGACATCATGAGTCATTAAAGACATAGTGGACAAGCATGAAGGAACCTATTGAGTCAAAACCACAATTCAGTTAATACAAAAGTAAAGTTCCCTATACTTGTGCATGCTAGTAGACAAGTCATGAGTACCCTCGGTGTAAAGTGCAATCTCCATATTAGTTAACTATCCACTATAATAGCCCAGTGTAACTCATAATAACACCCATCATATACAGAAAAACTAACCTGTTGCAGCCAAGATTTTCAAAAGTTGTTTTTTTTTTATTTTAAAATGACTGTGCAATGTCCTGATCCATTAAGCTTTCTAATCGACCCATGTAACAAGTATTGGGCCAATGACTCCCAAACCAGACGGTTTTAGGGCACTAGGTGTAAAGACACCCCTACGGGCTTAATAACTCGAGTTGAAAAGGCTACGAATCCGAACAAGTCATTCTTCTTATTTTTCCTTAACTGTGCAATGTTCATGTCTCTCAAGCTTTCTAATTAACCCATGTAACAAGCATTGGGCCAATGACTCCCAAACCAGACGGTTTTAGGGCATTAGGTGTAGAGACACCCCTACGGGCTTAATAACTCGAGTTAAAAAAGCTACGAATCCGAACAAGTCATTCTTCTTATTTTTCCTTAACTGTGCAATACAATTAGGTATACCTGTCAGACCGGTCAGTATGTTTGTGACAATCAGTCTGCCATCTCATTAATAAAAAGTGGAGCAAATAGCTCTAAGGGAAAATATATTGATGTTAGTTACCACTATATTCAGGACATAGTGGAGAGAGGTGAAATAAAAGTCAACTATATACCCTCAGAAGAGATGATGGCTGACCCTATGACGAAAAAGTTGTCTCTGGAAAAATTCAGAAAACATCAATGCCATACACACCACAATATATGAAATAATAAAACAAACTCACTAAAATCACCTACAAATGTTCAAACCTTTACATAAATTAAAAATTAATACAAAGAAAACTAAATAATTACATGGCTAGGGTTCATCAAAACCCTAGAAAAAAAAGAGACTAAGCCATCAAAGGATGAGTGAAAGGGTAGATGGACGAAGA